GGGGGGGGGAGGGGAGGGGGAGGGTTAGAGGAGGAATAAATGAGGGAGATTAGAGAGAATTTGAAGAATAGCTGAAAAAAAAAGCAGATGAATACATTGTATGTCTTTAAAACTCTTGGAAGAAATATTTAATTTTTTTTTTTTTGAGAAATTTCTGGAATTTTTTTACAGGAACGTTTTCCCAATGAACAAACACATGCCAAATTAGATGCAGAGATACGGGCGCGATCCGATTCGATGCAGGACAAAGAATGGACCTCAAGGGATTGCTCAGATTTTGTACAGCGATTATGCGGTCATTGCAATACAAATACAGATATTAAGGTGAAATTTGCAAACGTTTCTAAAATGCTCTCGATAATCTAACCAGACTTGTAATGGTGGTTTGCTGAAATGATTTTTTTAGGAAGCGGTTTGGTTTGGCGGTCGAGATGAATACATTGCAGCGGGCAGCGATTGTGGCTCATTGCTGGTCTGGGAGAGGGCATCCGGTGCTCTGGTGAAAGCATTTCAAGCCGATAGGAATATTTTGAATTGCGTACAACCGCATCCCTCGACTCTGTTGCTGGCAACATCCGGTATTGAACATGTCATCCGGTTCTGGGAGCCACTTAGTGAAGAGTACCAGCTGGTTAGTCTTGTTTTTCAGTTCAAAATAATTTACTTATTCTGACGCCCGTGATATTATCCAGGGAAATTTGTGCAAAAAACATCAGCTGAGCCCCTTCATATTGCGGAGAGTTAGAGAAAAAAAGTGGATAAGGGTCGGATTATTGAATGGTATAGGATTGTTAAGCGAGCAAGCGAAAAACCGCCGCGCCGCGTTGTGGAAGGATTCGCTCGAACGGTTTTTCTGGGATTGATTAAACTCAAAATAGAAAGGAATAGAGAACTTGTTACTCCAGCTACTTAGTTCGCCATTTATACTTCTAACAGCTCTTCGAGTTCCTTTGACTGGCGCTGCATCGGCTGACAGTCATCTTCTTGGTGTTCCTATTGGGTTGTTTCGTCTTTCTTGGGGATTTATTGGCTCTCTAAATAAGAGCATTTGGCGGAGTTCAATCGTCCCGAGATGTTCTTGTTCTGTGTTGAGCATTACCGCCTCGTTGGTACTCCTCTGTCCTCCTTCTTTCCTCTTCCCCGCTCCTCCTCCTCAGCCCTTTGTCGCTTCCCGGTATGCTTTTTTGCCGAGAGAAGGATTTTTGGACAAAAAATAGTGTCGAATGCTTTTTTTTAATGAATTTTAGAGTGACGAAGAACCGGCTCGTGAGTTATTATCCCTTACGACACTTTCGAAAGCGAATCAAAAACGAATGCATACAGGAATCTTCGACATGGTGGTGGCTTCGTTTGGAATTTCAGTGGAATCCGGTGATGAGGATGACGAGGAAGCTGGCAGGCGAATTGGCTGTAATACGAGCTAAAGCGGGTCTAGTGAAAATTCACTGCTTATGCTGCTCTAATCGTTATGATGAATTTTTTTTTTTTTTTTGTTTTTGAATGAGTTAAAAGGGGGGCTATTGCCAGACTAACGCTAGAGGAGACTTTAAGATAGATAGACCTGATTTTCCTAGTTCGTCTATCCAGGTTTGTCTTGAGAAGATCCGGTTGCTCCGAATAAGGACGTGATGAAACTTTGCAGGGATATTCTATGTGTTTGTGTAGGCTAGAGATTTGAAACACAGCCACTGCGCACGCTTGTACAGCGCATACGATCACGACAAAGTTGAGCAACTTTGGCATCCAGCTATTGCCAGAGCTTTTGGGTCTCATCAATAGCAGCAAAAACCATTAAAATGACGATTTTGACAATTGATTGCTGGCAGCAAGGGCAAAATACCTCCCTTTTCATGCCTGTATTCTTGTGTCTTGCGAATAAATATTTCTATAGTTCTAACTCTCGAGGATTCGATCAACTAAGCCTTGAAATGATTCCGGATTAGGTTAATGTCTGGTTGAATCAGATGTCAAAACTCCATCCGTAAACACCGTTTTTGAGGAGCGGGGGCGCTTGGGGGGTTACGCATGATTCTGCAGTTATTCAAAAAAAAAGAAATGTTTGCTCATAGCTATTGTTTATTTATGAAAAATGGGGTGCTGGGACGAAAAAGCATTTGGCGAGGAGGATTTGCATAGGGAAAAAAGTGGGGGGGGG